GGCACATACTCCACAGACTTCCATGGAAGTAATATACTCCCACTACGTTGCACTCGCCAAAATCTGCTGCTATTCCGGTCTGACAGCATTGTCAGTGTTGTTACTGGTAACTATAATAGATTTTTACTGTATATACACTCTGCCCTGACTCTGCCCATAGATTTATAGATTATATATTTGAAAATCTGCAAAACAACGAGCAACGAAGTGACATGTTTAAGGACAAGGACAAGCAGCAATTCTGTGAAGTGTGTATTTTAAGTTATAGTCTATCACTGGTAGGGATGGGTATTGATAAGATTTTCACGATTCCGATTCCATTTTCGATTCTGTTTAACGATTTGATTCTTTATCGATTCTCTTAATGATTCTTATTTAAAAAAAAAAAAAGAACACTAAGGTCGATTAGCTTAGAACTTTGTTTTATATCTTCTCTTTGAACAAGATAGAAATTTAGGAGTAACATGGCCTTACAAACCCAACAGTGAGATCTTAAGAGATCCACAGCCTACAGCTCTTCAATGGGGTGTCACAGGGTCCTCAGGAAAATAAATTGTAAATGTAAAATAATAGAATAAATATTTTTCTGTAGCAATAACAAAGTATAACATAAATTATTTTGTAGCAATTACACAAGAATATCCAGTAATGTCCCTGCCTACAATTAAACACATTCACTTACTGAAAATCGGGGCATCTGCTGTGGCAAATGGGTGCAAGCCTTTTACCACAAACTTAGTCACTGCTCGGTGACATTCGTCTATCCTGGCCTGAGACGCTGCCGGTAGACTGCAGTGAGAACTGCCAGCATCTGAGCCAGCCAGACTCTGTCTCTCTCATCATGGTCACCTAAACGCACAGTAATGGCAGGTTTTGTAATAAGGCAGATCACGCTAACATAATATGCACTGTTAGTTGATTATTTACCTGCCGCATTAACAGGAGAGGACGTGCAAATGTTACCGCTGCTGCTGGGTTGAGATTCACGAGTCCGGAGCGGAATTAAAAAACACGACATTCATTTAAAGTTTTTTGTGTGTTTTGTGAGCAAATGCTTTTGCATATTCGTAGTGTTTCCTCCCTTAAATGAAATATCTACTTTGCAAGTATTGCAAGTTGCCCTGTTGTCATCCGTATAATCAGTATAATCAAACTTTTGAGCATTTGAGCCGCCATGTTTCCTGCCAGGTAAATAAACTTCACATCAGCTGTAAGACTGACTAAAATGTGCAGTTCAAAACTCTCGAAAGAGAAACAAAGGCCATAACAGCTAAGATAAATCTGATAAAGACTTTGGAAGGAAAGAATTTAGCATGACCCCGCTCAGACTGCCTGCTGCTGTTCGCCTATGAGTGAGAGGTATGGTATGGAAGAAGCATCTAAAAATAAACTTTGCATCATTCGTGTTCATTTATTCATATCGTACATGGGGACATGATGAGTGCTTACGAATAATGAGTGAAATTCTACTGAACTTAATTCCTTTTCAAGTCCTGAATGAAATTCATCAGAAATGGACACAATCCAAAGTTCACATTGCCAACATTAAGATGCTGGCATGCATGATGGTGCAGACAACTGTAGGCCTTTAGTAAACACATATTGCCCAATCTGAACTTCACTGTGGGAATGATAGGAAGTAATAACATGCATTAAGTGGACAGATAGACCTGAAAGAAGGTGGCACTGCAAATTTATAAGGCATGATATTTTTCCAGCATTACTGAAATGATTGTTTTAATGATTTTTTTCTGTTTAATATTTTGATTTGTAAAACTGAGGCTGCAACATTACAACTCAGGCTTCAAACGATCTTTCAGTTTGCTGATTCCAGTATAAGTTTCACATACAAAGCTCTACTATTTTCCCCTAAAAACAGGTCATCTGGATGTCAGCATATGTTGATATGCTCTATTTGTATTGTTGAACATTAATGGGACCACGATACCGTCACGTATGTTGGGATTGTAACCGATAGCAAAGTTGTAATCGTTTTTGTGTTTGTGTTTGGTTTTTTTTCAAGCTCCAGGAGAAGCATGCTGACGTACTGGCATCCCTCCAAATGTTACACGACGGTTTAGAGCAGGCTAAAACAAATCAGAGCTGCTTGGTTGACCTGCGTGCTATTGTCCGCAATTATCTGATACTTGTCAAAAATAACGTTCAGGTAATGCATCATAACACTACTTTTCCTAAATGTTGTGCAAATGTTTAAGGCGATAAAAGTCAAATAAGGACCTGCACCTTCTTAAATCTATGCCACAAAGAATTAAGGCAGGGAGGAAAAGGGCGTCCAACCTGGTACTAGTAAGGAACAAATGAAGTGGCCAGTGAGTGTAGGCTGTGTATATAGTTTGTTACAAATACGGAGAATTCAAACTACTTGACAACATATACCCTTGGAAAAGACAGAGAAAAAACAGGAATATTTAGAGAATGAGTACAAATGGGACACCATGTAAAAAAATACTTGACTAAAATACTTGAAAAAAAAATACTTGACTTCATCTAATTAATTGAAGAAACTCACTTGTTTCATGTAACACCTGAGGTGCCCTTGGTGTTGCTTTTATGATTAATGAGACCCAATGAAACCATCTTTAATTTTTCAACATACTGCGTCTTATAGATGACACAAATTTTACATATAGATTTGGACACATGCATGCTATCAGCAGCCTTTATATAGAAATGTTTGTAGTTTTTCTGAAAAAAAAAGCCAATGAATGCTTAACTGAGTTCTTCTTATTTACAGAGTGGTCTGGTGACAGCGTCTCCTTCGGTAGTGCAGCACTGCTCAAATGAAACCACACTGAAAAAAGTGCTGGCTGGCTCCAAACAGCTACTCAAAGGAAAACTTGAGCTCTTTGCTAAGGAGTGTCCACAAGTTTCACTTAGTAAAAGGAAGGAATCTGATCCTGATCGAAGATGTGAATGAAGTACGCTGAGAGGACCCAGGAAGAAAAGACTGGGAGTTGGAACATTGTGACATTTGCATTGAATGGAAGGATGTTTAAAGGTAACAATCTGCGAGTGCTCTGAGTGCAAATGGAAGATGTAAACCTCACATGGAGGAAATGCTTCTGCAGAAAAGTTTCCAAAAGGCAACAAGAGCAGTTTTTAAAGACTCTAATTGTACAAGTGAAAGGGAAACCTACATCGGTGCATGGAGACAAGTGCTAGCATAAAGCCTAATAACATGCTCAACATCACCGTGATAACAAGCTGGAACTGACCAGGTATAATTTTTTATACACTGCTTTGCATTTGAAGAAGAACACACAGCTTACTAAGGCTGCCTTTAGTTCTGCAGATATTTAATCCTAAATCACAATAGTGGATAAATTGAAGTTTGGACCTCATGCTGGCATGAGAAAATTTTTAGGGATCACTGCAGTCAATATGCTCAGATCATCCAACTAAGTTGGGAAATGTGAGAGTGTACTCAAGTTTGGAGCCAAGCAACTGACACATCAACAGATTGCCACGCACATTGCCACGCATGACTAATATTAAGACATTCCATTCACCTTGAATCACTTGGATTTAAGTGAAGGAGCCGACAGTGACTGATAGTAGAGTTGATAGTGGTGGTGGCAGTGTGCTTTAGATCTAAAAGCCCACTGTTTGTATTTACAAAGATATATTGCGTAACCAACTGTGCCAGGAAAATTCAAATTGGCTTTTAAGATGAGGAAATCTGACTAAAGTGCTATTTACTCTCCTGGCCCGCAGATGAATCATGCAAGGGAATCTGTGTAATGACTAGCTACCTACAAATGAACAAAGTCTGTCTGTGTGCTCATACTTGTTATGGCAAAGTGCAACAGAAACTGTGACTGTAGCACCCTCTGTAGGTATGAGGTTGCATTAATCGTATTGTGTGTCAATATGCATCAGATATTGTTCATCACCGTCACCACCTGTGGATGGCTCCCAACTCTGTGTACTTGGCCTGGAGTGCAAGGAATTGATTAAGTTTATGAGAATTTTGTATTCTACAACAAAAGTGATCATAATGACTGCACTCATGTCTCATGTTAATAAATAACAGATGGATGTGTATGGATGCAGAGAGTATGTGCTATTCTGCCTTATTTCTATATATTCTGCACAAAATGTATGTATGTGTTTGCTTATTTAAAACATGTAAAAGTGCTGCTCAGTTTATATATATGTATACGCTAGCCAATTATTGCTGAATGATTGCAGTGCCCATCAAAGACTTTGCTAGAGACACTTTTTTGTTATTTATTTATTGTGGAGGACTTTGGACTGTCTGTGGCAGCAGTTGGACCACTCTGTATTATGTGGATCACTTCAATTATTGATATTAAATGAACTTTTAAAACATAAAAAAGCTATAAAATGTAATAGCTTTTTAAAAAAAATTACATTTTTAAAATTACAGTGTAAAAATTTTGAAGGAGCATGACTGATCTGTGTTCATCAATGTTCAGTGTGCCTTCGGCAATTTCACAAAATAATAAAGTATATAATAATAACAATAAGCCTGCATTTAGTATGTTTTCTGTCATAATTTCAAGTTTAGAATGGTAACTTTGCATTGTAACATTGTAAGACCTTGAAGGTATCCAGGTTCACAAGCGTAATAACTGGCTAACCTGATGCAGCAGGTGGCCGGAAAAATGGACTGCTGTGATTGGCCAACCCGGTCATATGACCAAAGGCAACAGGCAGGCACCAAGGGGCGCTGGAAAATCAGAAAATCAAGACGCTGCACTGATTGAAAACACAGGACAAAACCGGAAGCTGTGCACATTGCCTACAAAATAAAACATTTGTATAGTCGTCTGTGCTGGCATTAAAAAAAAATCACGTTGGTCTTCATATGACACGCACACATATGAAAACCACACGGTAGCTCTTCATACACTTGCCTGCCGTTTGCATCCGGGGTAGTTAGGCATAATTACATTACGTTCCCATTACGTTCCCTGTGTTCTACTGTGGCAGTTTTAACCGGAAATCACCGCTATTAAGACAAAATGACATTCCCGTGTCACATGATATTCTTCTATATAGTTGTATGAGATGTTACGATACAACAGTCGCTTGATGTGGCATTTAACAGAATTATAACGCTATAGGAAAGGCCTACTCGTTTTAAAATGTAGGTTTAACACGCATTTGTATTTTATTTTTTTACAATTATTAACTTAACCACTGCTTTGCTATGTAGGTAGGTAAAGTTGATTCTTTTTGATGAGGACTCGCCACTGATACACTTGCTTCGGTTTTTGAAACGGTTGGAATACGCTCATTTGTACGCTCGAAGATATTCCACGAACCGGGCAGACTTGAAGAGTTAAACTCTGGTGTCTGATCGCTCAAATTTATCCGGGACACTTTTTTAATGAAGTTTTGAAATCTAGTCCGGGAGCAGGTTTCGCCATGACAGAGCGGACTCCTCTCCTCCACTACCGCCTCTCTACCAGCGTCAATGAATCCGAGCTGCGGTCACAGGCGGGCAGGCAGGCCCCGGTTCATAACCCGGGCAGCCAAGGGCGGGGGGCTGCCCAGCAGAAGCAACAGAAGAAACTCTCCACCTTCTTCGGTGTAGTCATCCCTACCTTGCTATCGATGTTCAGCGTGGTAGTCTTTCTCAGAATAGGTGAGTGCTCATTTAGACGGACGTGCGCTAATCACCTGTTTGGTAAGACCGATGCCAAACTCTTTAGAGATTTTTAAAGTTGTGCACTTTTCAGCAAAGTTGAGGGTGCATGTCTCGACTGTGACCCCCCCTTTTTTTTTTTAAACTTTCACGTTAAATCCCGTTATGTTCCGTTACTTGTCACTGTCACATGTCACTTCCGTGACATTCCGGCTTTGCAGTACAGGTGTGACAGCATATGTCCATTACCTGTATGCACGGCATTCATTCATTGATATCACGAGGAGGCACATCTATAGCTTTTTTTAATATTCAAACCCCAAACTGTCTCACATAGTTTTTCATATAACCTGCCTCTGTGGATGAATGACGTAAGAGAGATTTTCCCACCTCACTGATGTACAGCCTTTGCTTATTTGCTAAAAGGAGCTTTAGATAGCCAGGAATTTAATGTTATACAAAAGTGAGTAGATGTAAAAATTTCCCTCAGTGTTGTTAAATGAGGGAAGGTGTAACTGAGTGTTCTGCTCCGATTAAAATCCTACAGGTTGTACTTGTTTGTGGACCAGTTGAGACGATGGATTTCTCTCTATATATCCATGAATCTACCAAAGAATTGTGCCCTTACAGTTAAGACTAGATTCTAGTGAAGATCACAGTGGGCTACAAATCTATGTAGCCCTTAGTCACGAGAGGAAAACCTATTGGTACTAGGGAGAAGGACTCCCCCCCCCCCCTTTTCTTTTAAGCAGAGAGGAAAATGACAGAAGGATGCAAAAGAAGGTGAAATGGTCTCCAAATATTAAATGACAGATAACATCTGCGGTCAATCTCATCAGAGGTATGCTAACACCTCCTACCATACTCAATAATGCTAAAACAACATATTTGACAAATATAAAAAATAGACTATACTATATTAAGTAAGGAGCACTCTGAGGTCATCCACTGTTTACCTTGCTATGAAAATAAGCAGATATTTATGATTTAATGCACTTTCCCCTATTTCTGTGTTTAAAGCATTAAAAGAGGTCACATCTAACTTCACCTTCTCTTTTCTCTCATCACAACCCCTCATATCTGGGCATTGCTGCTTGTGTTAGTTGTTTTCCCCACCCCACCACTACTACTGTCCCCCTCCCTCAGTCTCGTGAGACGTCAGCTGCTGTGCAGTGAGGATTCCTAAAACACACACACACACACACAGGGAAAACACAGTGTTGTGTCTGTTTTCAGACTCCTTGCACAGGAACTGTTAGGGGTTTCATTGTGGATGTGAAATTACTATTTTATCAGTCTTGACAACTGGCGCAGATAAGGATGAAGACTTTGACTAAAATATGCCCTACTGACAAGATAATAGTGACAAGAAAGTAAAGCTGCATTCATTAACCGTGCCTGCTGCATTCTTAAAGAGATTGTAGGTCTGGTCCTTGGAGATCATGTGAGATCCACAGCAGTACTGGTCACAGTGTATGAAACCATGGTGCTTTTAATGCCTCTCAAAGGTTACAGCAGAAACTAGTGATAATGTGGTAAATGTGTGTCTAGCATGGTGTAAAGTGAGCTTAATATCCTGTCCCAAATGTATTTAGATGCACATTCATTCGCTTTTGAATATCAGAAATTTTAGTTATACTTATTGTTGTGTAAAAACTCGGAATTTCTTTCTGTCAGGAACCATTCCAACCACAGATGCTATTGTGAGAAGTGGGAATTTTCTTCCAACATGTGATTCCAGTTTCGCTTTCACTGAGGTTGGAATGTTTTGATGAGTCATTTTTTAAGCCGAAGACAGAGCTGCTTTCATTTTTCATTTCCTGAAGGAGTTTTGCAGATGTGTTCATCATACAGTTGAAGCAAGCATGAATTTGTTTCTGCAGTACAAAAGGCCATTTTCATGATGGTTCCGCTGCTTGTTTGGGGGAATTATCATGTTACTCTAAATTGCTCACATTTTCGATACCACATTTGGTGGTGTCACCAGTGCAACACCACATAGGTAACTTCTGCTTTCAGACAGTTGAGCACAGGATTAGTGGCTCAGTGAGGGAAGTTCAGGTTTAAAAGTATTTTTCAAAGATGGTTCACTTCTTACTGGGGTTCATCTCCAAGCAAAGAGAATTTTGTCTACTGGCTTTACAAAAGACAAAAATAATTAAATAAAACTGAAGTCTTTGTTTTTTATAGTCTGGGTAATATTTCTCAGTGTCACTCCCTACCTTGGATGACTGATAACTGACCCAAAGCAACACATTAGGAATATGAGCCACACCTCGATTTCAACCAGCAAGTCAAGAATTTAGGTGGGACTTTCTATGTACAGATTACAGATGTTACCAACATCTGAACAATTCTCGACAGTTACTTAAGTACGTATCTGTGCCCTCATTTCTTCCCACATTGAGTATTTAAACTCACTGTGTTGCCTGCGTATAGCTGCACACAGCTGAAAGGGTACTTACTTTCACTGGCTTCCTGTTTGCTGCAGAATTCAACTTAAGGTTTTATTAATTACTTTGAAATTACTACATGGTATGGTTCTGCCTGATATTGCAGAATTTTTATACCCTTATGCCACCCCCACTAGGGCTGAACGATTATGGAAAATAATCTAATTGCGATTTTTTTGCCCCAATATTGCGATGCGATATGCGATTATTTTTTAAGGTCTTTGTCTTCTGTATTATTAAACAAAGACAAGCAATACATCATATAGTATGGCCAATACTATATTACATTAATTTTAAACTGTTCTTTCCTG